TGATCCAAGAGGAAACTACATCAGCTTGAGTTTTTGTTTTTTCATTCAAGACAAATACAATATAAATGGTGGTGAATACCTATTTTCAATGAGAAAAATGTGCAAGTTAACGTTGTTACTGAAGCAATATGGAAAAAAAAAGGCAGAGTTTAAAAGCAAGAAAGGTGGGCAGGGAGAATTAGAACTTGAAACTTGAACTAAAACTTTCACAAGAGAAATTAAAATTTTAAGCCTTAAAGTCTTACAACAGGTGGAGACCACAAAATGAATTAGGAGGCCATATTCTAAGACAGGAGCTGAACAGTTTGCAAATACAAATTGAATGTAAGTAACATCTGGAAGTTTTTAGAATGAACTGAACAAAGACACTGAAAAATAAAGTCTTTATTGGAATTGTAGCTCTTCTGTATAATTCAGGCTTGTAAGACTTACAAAGACTAGCGAGATGAAAACAGGAGGTGACCAGCAACCTTACTGTCACAAACAAGTCTTCCAGGAAAAAGGTAGACCCTCTGTCCAAACTAAAGCTTACTCACAGAGGTGGACTGTGGGAAATATAAAAAAAAAGGTGTAAAAACCATTGTGTCTAGAATGAAATCAGAGACATAGAGTCCAAAGATGTTTTCAGCTGTCCTTTAAGTAAGCAGAAGACACAGACCACCAGACTTGTTATAGTAGCTTAAATTTACTGAGGCTCAGGGGAAAATTAGGCTATTCCAGATCACACAATGTAAATTCCCAATAGAATTGCATCCAAAAGCACTTCCTGAGAAAGTTCTGGTGACTGCCTCCGTGGTCTGGCTCTCAGTGTGTGAAGAATTTAGTCCACAGAAGAACAGAAATTATCCTGCTCTGGTTTCATGCCTTGTATGCACTATGGAGATAGCCATCAATTTGACCCAACAGCTTTATGGAAAAAAGAAAAAAAGAAACTGCAACAGGAATGGAAGTGGTTTTGTAGATTTGTTCTTCAGGCACACACAAATGCTACTGATAACTTCTGAAACAATTGGCAGCAGACTTGTTTTAAGCACTGAACTGTTGTTGGACTCAGATATTAATCAGGAACATGAAATTAAAGGAATGTGAAATTTAGCGATGAACGTCATTCTTGCCTCAAAGAAACCAAAAGAAAAAGCAGCTGCTGGTCAGGAAGGTAGGAAGTGGTTGCCATATAACTTAGAAATTAATTTTTGTGCGTACTATGTACAAGGGATCCTAATCTAGCTCATGACACGAATGATTAAAAGAAGTGATAGGGTTTTTTTTCATCAGGGAGTGGAAAGTAATAATTAAGGCATAGAGTACAATTAAATACTGACAGGCAAGAAAAAAACTGGCTAGGAAAAAGGTTGCTGTGAGCTGGCTAAGGCACATAATTTCAAATACCTATTGAGAGTTTTTCTCAAATGAGAGAAAGCAGGAAAATTTACATGAGGAAACTCCCAACAGACTCAACTCCAAAGAAGGCCCCCTAGGAAACTCATAGTGAATGTTGGGCTATCAAGTGTGGAATAAATTTAGAGAATTTCATGGGAATTATTAAACTAGACATGCTAGAAGGCTAGAGAATAGGGAATTCAATACTCCATCACCTAATTTGGCAAAAATGGAGACAGTCACTGGGAAAGGTGCATTCATCCAAGAACTGAAAACTGGAAAATGATCAAGAAGTCTTGACAGCCAAGTTAGCACATGAGCTAACCATTTACTAAGATTTGATTATTGCTAATAACTGCATAATAAATGCCAAAAACTGCATCTTGGACAGAAAGCTTGTAGAAAACACCCTTCTTAAGGGTCTTGGGTTTGCAGATGGCAAGCAATAATTTTTAAGCGATATTCCCCTCTAGATATAAAAACTCTTAATAGTGTTTTACATTTACATTTACTCAGGCAAGAAAATAGGAAAAATGCTTGAAATTTGCTTCAGGGTGATCTCACCTGCCATTAAAGAAATTATTTGTTATTCCACTTCAATTTTTTCTGTTAAGCAGCAAACAGTATAACAGAAAATGCATTGCAAAATGCAAAAGAACAGATGTAGTAGATACTTATAAGTAAAGGATGGAAGAATGAACTTATGGGGTTTTCTCTAAATTTATTCCAATTAGTATTGAACGCACAAAACTCAAATGGCCTGAGAGAGTTCTCGGTCAGAACTGAATTCTTAGAAACAAAGGTAAAAATTACACTGCACGCCCTAAGACTAACAAGAAAATTGGAGGATATTGGGAACATATGCCCCTAAGCAAGAAGATACATAACCAGCCTTGCACAACAGTAAATCTGCAGAAAAGGTTATGCACTCATTAGCTGTTGTTTTAGATACAAAAGAAAGTGTTACTTTATTTTCCAGATTGGAGACTGAATGCAAGTGGAAACAGAGAAAAAAACACACAGGAGGAAAAATTAGTACCACTATTGCACTATCACCAACTGTGTGGCGATTTATGTATAAATGGAGTTATATACTTCCTACTCAAAAGATTTATGGCTACCCTACCTCTCACTTAACCTGTTTACTATACTGGTGTCCAGAACAGAACTGAAATGCTTCCATGTAAGCTGAAAACACCAGCATGAAACTGCATTAAAGACAAGGAGTGCCTCCCTGCTGTCAGTGACTCTGTAACCCACAGTGCTGTCACCCTCGCAGAGAGTGCTCCCTTCCCAAGGAAGCTGCTGTAAGGATCTGTCCAGAGCCAGAGCATATGTGCAGTGGCCTTCTGACACTGTAACAGCCAAAATAACTTGGGGGGCTTTTAGCAGCAGTGCAGGCTGGTGGCCTGAATTCCTGTCCAGCTCAGAAGCTGGCAAGTACTTGCTTATAGCTTAAAAACTTCAACAGTGTTCCAGATTTCTTTCCAATAAGAACTAAATACACTGAAAATAAATGAAGCCCAAGAGACCTATGGTTGCTGTTATTATATGATGATATTTTTTCTGTTAGCTTTAGGATCCCAGTGAGTTATAAGCTCAAGAAGAATATCTTAACAAAATTGGAAATCTCTATCTGAATGATGGGCTGAGAAAACATCCATTAAGTTCAACTCCTCCAAGGAAGCCTAAGTGCCATCGTGATGTTTCCCACACCAGACTGCCCAATTCCACTGGAAGAAAGACCAGGCTGATGTGTCAGGAAGGAGAGGGGTTGTGGTCCAACAGACACCACACACCCTCTCTGAACAACCAAATAATTAAGTTAGTGGTGTTGCTGGCTTGAAGTTCAGATGCTTTCAGGTGTCCCAGTAATACAGAGAGTCCACCAGCCACTACCATTCTGCATTCAACACTTATCAATATATGATAACCACAGAGGGGAGCCTAAGATTGTTACTTTGGTGAAACTGTTCATAGGAGCAGAGCAAGCATGAATCCTGTCTTGCTTCATGACATATAGGATAAACTGTCAATAAAAGTCCAAAAGACATCCTTTTTATTTGGTAGAAGAAGTGATCCCTTAGAACACTAAATCATTCCTAAAGAGAAGCAAAATTAATTCAGGCTGCTTGAACTAGACAAAACCAACAGAATGTAATCCTCTACAGATCTGCACTATTGTGAAGGAAAAGTGGAGGAAAATGACTATGTGAAGGGATATGTATAAAAACAGGCCACATAGGAAAACTTTACAAAGGGCTGTATTTATTACACTGCCTAAGATAATCTCAGGAGATAAAAGCTGAGAAAATCATTAATGTGATATGTATACATTTTAAAAAGTCCATATGTAAATTGCACATACAAATTCTGATTTCCTCACTAGTAAAACTTGAGGAATCTTCAAATTTTGTTTTCCCAAAGAAATTTGATAGTTTATATTTTATTTGATTCTGAACCAAAATTGAGTAAAACAGTTTTCAAGTTTTCTACTAAATTAAAACAATACCAATTTGAATATAAATTTCTAAATATTTAACTCTATTTATTCTCTAACTAGAGCAAGTAATCTATTTCATAATATACATTCATTAAAGTGATGTTAAAATGAAAATAATATTTTAAATAGAGTTAAATAATTAGAAATTAGAAATCCATAACAGCAGTAGTCTGACCCAGGTAATTTTTTATATTTTCAAGCAATATTGAAAATAAAGCACCAGTAGAATCCAAAATTAGATTTTGGTTCAATAGGTTCAATAATATGATATTTTGTTTATTTCTGAAATTTTAAGTTGTACTACAGAATTTTTTCCATAGAAATTTTTACAGATTTTTAAATACTTTTATTTTTAAACATTGAAAATTGTCTTTTCATTAGTGTTTTTTGAAAACTGTAAAAAACCCCCATTTCTCTGCCAGGCTGATAACACAGTGCTGAAAACTTCACTAGGACTGTCATTGAAATCCAAGCCATCCCTCAGAGACTCAGAGAATGGAGCTCCATCAGAAGGTTTGATCAGGCAGAGAATGAAAAAAAGTAAGAAGTTATTTAGATTGGAGTCAAATATTTTTGAGTTGGCAAAGGCAAAATAGCCTGCCTGAAGTCATGTCATCTTTAATTTGTTAAGTTACTTATTTTCTTGTAATGCTATTTTAAGTATCAACATTTCCAATACATTAACTTGATTGGCAGAGGTGCTGTATGACTTGGGAAAAACCCCAGTAAAAAGTTTTATTCCTGTCTGCTCCAAATTCTGAATGAGTTACTCTCAGCTGAAAAGATCCATGCCTTAGAAACATCCTCACTTGCCTTTTACCTCTGAACATCACATCAAGTCAAAATTTCAGTGACAGACAGCAGTGTTCTGGCCTTATCTCATTTTAATCTCAGCAACTGATCTGAGAGAAATTCTAAATCAGGGGCAAGAGTACTCAACTAACTGAGTAAAACTTATTTTTGAAAGTAACAGACATGACGAAAGGTAGTTCATAAAAGACTGCAGGACCATACCACATCACTATAGGAGGAATTATCTGTTTAGGTTAATAAGAAGTAGTATTTGAAATCTGATACTTGTATGAATTGTACAGCTATTGCATGTTTTTCACCTTACCATTTTGTATTCTTTCCAGCTTTTCTGAAAATCCAGACTTCCATCTTCTCGGTGTTGTATAACTGTCCATCCTCCTCCAGCAATTTCCATATTACAAAAGACCTACAACATTAAATAAAAAAGAAAAATTTAAAAATCCAAGCAAAAAATAAAATAAGTTTGAGTTGAAATTCTGTCATTTGGGGGGGGGGAAGAATTTGTGAATAACAGTATTAAGTGAGTGTGTTTTCCTGTGCACTCATGCCCTATTCCCTCAATGACATCATCAGTCATTTGGTAACAAGCAGTTCTCTCATTATGTTTAGTGTAATTCTCCCAGCAATGTCTCCTTTCAGTACATCACCAAGAATATCTCCCAGTCATCCCCTTCTACTTCTTCAGCTTTCCCCTTCACATTCCCTCCATGCTTTTTTTTCTATTTTCTCTGTAGTGCCCCTGAAACCACTCCCTTCCTCTTAATGAACAAGAGTAATTCTCTCAGTGATAATAATGCTTCTTTTAGCAGAGTGTCATTTGGTCTCAGAGAGAATCTTGAAAATTCTTGCAGAAAACATTCATCCTAGGAGTCTGAAATGTATCACAAATGAAGTTATTCTGTTTTCCTTTGAACTGTAATATTATCAACAGTGTTCCAGGCAGTGTCCCAAAATGGGACAGGTGACCTCAGAGCAAGCTGCCTTATAAGACAGAACGTAGGTAGAAATAGGCTCAAGATATGAGGTCTTTGAGACAAGGTCAGAAGTTAAGATACATACTCAATATGTAAGACCATACCCTGTCACCACTGCTCTAAAAAATTATAACCTAGATACTAAAGATTCTGTGTACAAAGGATAATGAAACAATTTGGAAAATTTTGTTGACCCTTGATATTAGAATATTGTGTAGACTGAAATCTGTTATCAACCTTAAATAATCCATAGAATGATAAAAAATAATACTAACTTTTATTCGCTTCACTCTTATTATCCTTCAAAAAATACAGAAGATAAACTATGAAAAAAATTAAATACTGCTTGTGCATTTGCTTTCATTAGTATATGACAAGCAGTAGTAATTTTTGTTCCTGTTCTTCTAGGACACTTGATTTTAAGATCTAACTTTCTTAGGGCTACTCATTCAAGCAAATTTTTCTGATTTCATTGCCCTGGACTCATCCATGCCATATTGATGCACCTATCCTAAATTTCATTTGTCTGTGCTTTTAAAAGCTGCATTCTGGCCGTTAAGTAAAAATTCAATATGCAAGAGTGCTGAAGAGGTTTAGCTTTTAGCACTCACGTCAGCAAGAGTCAACCCATTAATCACTGGTTGGCAATTTAAAGCTTTATATTGCTTCGACAAATTGGAGGTTACTATCCAACACAGTTAAATAAAAATTTATCCTGCAGTTGACTAGAGGACCACATTGTACCCTCAAGAAAAGCCATTATAAATTTCTCCAACTCATAGGAGCTGTCATAGTAACAATATGCAAGTATTTTTGTTTTAATTTGCACCAGCGTTGCCAAGTGAAGTCCCTGTGAAAGCGCAGGAAGGAAATAGAATACCAGGACAAACATGAACTTGATTCAGGGTAACCACAAGAAAACCCACAATTTTCTAGACAAATATTTTGGCCCTATTCCTTCTTTAGGGAAGCCACTGTGAGGCAAAACATTTATCTACAGGATTTAATGTCTTTAGTCTGATTTACGGTGAGAACTTCTAAAAGATGCATTTACTTTCCTTGTAAGTCATTTCAAGCTCCCATGAATCCACTGCCAATTTTTAAAGCAGTAAATCCTCAACTGTACTAAGACTACTCATTCTAAAGATGCATGCAAATGTTGGGATTTTCATAGTACAATATAATGAAATACCTATAAAACACTAAAGTGTTCTGAATAATATATCAAATTGAAAGAGAAAACGGCACAGTGAAAAAAGATTTGCCAGCAGCACATTTTTCACTTGCCATCATTGTATGGTCTGGCACTTTCCACAGTGGTAGACACGGACACCTGCCCATATCAACAGGAGTTCCATGGTGATTGTAGATGTTACTGTGCATAGCTTTAGCCTTGTCTGTCCCAGAAAAGATCAAGGCACTCAGCCATTTAACACCACTTAATGTGTTCTGATACTTAATCCTCTATTAGAAAAGAAAAGGATGAAAAAAGGTGACTGAATTTGTATGCATTATGGTTTCTGATTTTATAATTAATAAAATAACCTTAGAATAAAAGACCATCCAAAATATTGCACTCTTGCTCTTCCTTAAATGCCTGGGTAAAAATTCTCAAGCTCCTTAAAGGCAAATATGGGATTATTTCTACTTATTTTACCTTTATGGACTGAATTATTAAAACTTTTATAATTATCATTCAGAGATAAGCTGAATTTTAAATTAATTTGAAGATGTGAAATTTCTGCAGATTTCATTTTAGGTTCATGCACACCAAGACCCCACAAATCTACCTCACTGGCATGGAGCAACAAGTTCAAGACCAGGTATTTTCCACTGAATATCAGGGTTCTAGTAAGTATCCCTTAGAAAATATAAAATTAAATGAAGGCATATTTTGTAGCCTGATGTATAAAGTTGTTATGAATGAGATAGTTGCCTGTGACTGTGTGTAATACAGAAGATAATAATATATTAGGGCTCCTAAGACATGCCAGAACTGTGCATTGTGGTAATCCAGATAACTAAGCTGGCTTTAAACAAGCAAGTCTGTCTCCATGGAGTACCTATCAGGATATCAGAGCAATCTGATTGTGTCTGCATGGTGCTACCTCTGGGCTGATTAGTGCTGGCACAGTGTTGCATTGAAGTGATTTTGAAGCTATCTCAGCTGGAGTTAGTTCAGCTATCTGCACAGCACTACCTTGCAGCTTGTTTAAATGACCTTAATGTCTGAAGAAACACCTGTTAAAGCAATCACACTCCTCACTTGACTAACATGAAATTGTCTGGGCTCACCTCTTGCTGTGTTACTGCTAGGGCAAGACAGAAACAGGTGTATCAGAAATGCCCTCAACACACAGAAACACACACTCCTGCCTTTTCTTGCTAAAACAGGAACCCTCCAGTAAAACTTAATGCGATGGCACCAGCTGAGTTGTGGTACCTGTGTTGATTGATAGCAGTGTCTGTAACCAGGGATATAGTGGAAACACAGGAGGGCTTCCATTGTGTCACTGTCATTATACTGCCAGCGAAGTGAGTTTGAGGTAAATATACCAGAAGCATGAGTGTCACAATGTTTCCAGGTAACCCTTGTTTTTAATTGCATTCCAGCTTCTGGTTATGGTTCTTGAGCTTCAGTAAGGCTGAGAAAACTACTGCTAATTGGTATATCTGATTCGGACACATATGTTACATCTCTTTTTGAGCAGAGCAGCGTCTACAGAATTTCTTTTATTATTCTTGTCCTGCTCAGTAATGCTTTCAGGGATATCTGCCTTTTATGTCATGTCAATTATTTTCCTATTCACATTTTCCAGAATTATGTTGGTCTTGGCCCATAAAGCTCTCCCCCCCCAATTCTACTCATGGCCTAATGAACTCTATTTCCTCACTAAACTAGGACATCTTGATGTTTACAGGCTTCCAAAGGCCTTTTGTAATACCAAACTCCACTTAGGAGCAACTTTAGCATATCTTAATATGATTATAATATTACTATAAACAATAATATTGGTAATATTTTTTACAGTATTTTTATGTTTGCAGGGTCACCATTTTAGTGCAGTAAGAATAAATTCACCAGACAGAAGTGGTTCCCTCCCTCCTGTCTGGCCCACTTTATGGCCACCACTGTATTTCCCAGGTAATCAGCCTTTACCCTTGGTGGCTGCTCCAACAGTGCCCTGTCAGAGGGACAGCCAACATTCCCCCACAGACAAGCTGGGTTTAGGTCATCCTCTCATGTTCCTAACCTCAGTTCCTGACTCAGGTACCTTAGCAACAAAAGCCTTGCAAAAAAATAATCTCTTATACAGACCAATGTTTCATTTGCATAAAAGAAACCCCCTCCCAAGTCCCTTTTTTGAGAAGGATGGGATTATACACGCTTCATAATTTCAAGCAGTGCTGGTACTCAGCATGTTGTGTTCTTTACAGCCAAACCTGCTTTTCCCTGTCCCCTACACAAGAAGCAGAATTTTTTTAAATCCTTATCTTTAAAAACTACTCATTCTGCTTCTTCTTTTCTTGTGCTACCAGATAATCCCCAAGATCAGCTTCCTCATTATCACACTTTACAAATTCACTTCTAAATTTTATTGCAGATTTATTTGCAGCCATAGTCTGATTCAACTGGGCTTGCCAAGTGGGAGGAAGTGAGTCAACTATTGAGTGTACATTGGAACTTAGGAAGGATTTTCTGTCAGCGGGAAAGAAGAATGTCTGGAATAATACAGTTAATCATTTTCTCAGTCTATTATACTTATTAAAGACTAAAGAGAAGACATGCTTTTTATACCAGTACAATATTTTGTGGAATGATAACTTCAAGAAAGGCTCAAAACACTCCTTTCTGTTCAGCGCAATGTCGTATTAACAAACAAGAAAATAAACCCAGTCTTTACCTTTTTAGGATCTGACACATTGTTAATATAAATAGTGTAGACCCCACTTTTGTTAACACCAGATTGGTATACATCTGCACAGTCTCTGAATGGCTTTTCTTCTTCCTTTTTTGCATTCTTTAGTAAAACTGCAAAACAAAAGACATGATAATATACGTTACAACAACAGTCTTAAGCATTTCTATATCTAGGAAGTCCACTTTTGCACACTACATCCCTTTCAAAAATGGACAGTAAAAATTGCACTGTGTTTCTTACACAGTTCATGCATTTGGCAAATTCTAGTAAAGAGCTAGTATGAAGCTTTTGGACAGATGGCAGAAGTAGGCACCAGAAGAAGTCATGATACAAATAGCTAAACAGAGCATCCTGTCTGCTGAGAGGTAACACAGCATATTCTTTCTGAGTGCAAAGCTCTGTGCCCCTGCAGGTGTTGCCTCTGACAAAAGATGTACCCTCAAGGTTGCCAAAGAATGCCCCAGAGATGGCAAATAAAGGTGGAAAAACATGTTCAGTGTTGTGATCTGACACAGATGCTCACTTAAGACAGCAATGCTGGAAGGAGAGAGTTTGTGCTGTTCATGAGGTAATAACCTTTGAGCAGCACAGGAGCTTGGGGCAAGGCAGCTGCTTGCTTAAATTTATTTATTTTGTAGAGAATAATTTAATTATTTTCCTACCTACATTCATAAAATTTGCTAAACAGAATAAAAGAAAAAACAGTTCTACTGAGGTCAGGTGTCTAGAGGCAAGATTTATAGAACCCATTTTGGCTCAGCACAGGGGAACAGTTAATGTTATAACACCAGTGCAGATCTTGATCCTGTATATTACAGACAGACCATGTATATATGAGTCTGGGCTGAGAAATCAGGAGTGCAAAATGTTGAGAATCCCAGTCTTGAACAACCAGGAAATTCCCTGTAGAAGGAGTAACATCTGAGAGTGTTCTTCACTCTCACAAACAAAAGTAGCATGACCCCTCACAATAGTGAAGGATATGATTCTATTCCAACAGAACATATTTTAAGCACATCAGTATTCCCATGGAAATCCATCTGCCTACTCAGATTTTTAAAGTTAAACATGTCCTTAAGTGATGTGCAGGGTTTGGGCCAGCACTTCATTAATCCCTACAATAAGGATACAATATTTAAGTCTTCCAGACACACTCATCCTCTGGTGAAAGATACTTCTTTTTCATTTTTGGCTTGAAAGTGTGAGTTATAGATACAAAAGGGAGTACATCTCATTTACTCTGAGTGAAATGGCCTCTGGGCAAAGCTGATACTGATGTGTAACTGGGCAATGGCCTGACACAGTGTGTGGGACTACATGGGCCAGAGGTGGTGAGAATAATGCCAAGGGCGTGCAGTTGGAAGTACTATCTTCCCTTTGAAAACCTCAAAGCAGTATTTTAGGATGGCAAATTCCTGCCAGAGCGCTTGGTATTAATACCATTTCACAGATGGGGAAATTGAGGTAAAAAAGGTTAAACATTTTACTCAGTCATTCCGTGAAAAGGTGAAAATAGAAAAATAGCGAAAAATCCAATCCTGAGTGTAAGACTACACTGCTCTCTAAGTAGGCATTTTGCACATAAATTATATTATTTTTTCCCTTTTATGTGTTTTCATATTATTATTCTTAAATTTTATCTGAAGAAACAAAATCCCTTACTTCTCCCCTTCCCATGTATTTGCTTCATGTTTGTTATTTTTATTCAGCACTCTCAACAAAAATCAAACCTAATTTATATATTTGCATATGAAATTTGATTAGGAAATCAGTGGCTTTGAAACTTAGAGATATTTGGAAAAGATAGTGTTGGCAATGCTGTAGATTGCACACTTCCCTGTGAGATGGCAGGGAGTGAGGTCCTTAGCAAGGTGCACATCAATTGTGTAGTCTCTCAAAAGTGACATTTTTTGAGATAAGACATAGAACTGAGGCCCTCGTGATTTGTGTTAATTAAAGACCTCATGGTACTTTTTGTAAGCAGATGGTGTCAGTATCTGTGGCCAAAGTCCAACCTGAATAATTACTTGGGGCTGGAGCCAAAACCTAGAGGAGTTACAGCAAAGCCTCTCATTGATTTCAGAGGGCCTTAGAATAGATCCATTCTTTCTGGCCTGAATTTCTCTAATGCTGTTGTTTCAACTGGAGACATGTCTCTCCTGTCTCAAAATTATATTTAGTGGTGCAGAGGCACTGGTCATTTTCTTCAGTCTTAAAACACTTTTATTAGCTGTATGCAGCAAGATTATCTTACCTCTTATATGAGTGTTATACACACATTGAAAACCACTTGGAAATAACCATTAAGATTCAATAAAGGAAATTTGAATTTGGGTCCTTTCTAGCTGAAACTTAGACAAAAGAAATCATGAGTATGTCTTAAAGTTTATATCATTGAAATTTTAAACAAGGTAAGATTTTAATATCAGAGCAAATAGCTTTGGTAACTTTCCAAAGAGATGGAACTCTAGGAATTGTCCTTAGAAATAATTTATCATGCTTAAAACTAAAAGAAACACAGTAATAAGGATGTTTGTGTGAGAGATGAAGTTGGAAAAGACAGATAAATGTCACAGATATGGCCATCTTTCCTCTTAGACAGCTGAAGTAGCTGAGGTCAGACGGAGAGCAAACGTATAATTTCCTAAAAACTAAGCAGTCCAATACCCGTTTGGGGTTTTATTCCACTGTAGCCAGGAGAAGATGGCTTTCCTTGAGTGCCTCTCACTCCTTTCTCAGGAGCTGGTGCTCCCACTGGAAGAAAAGCCCAGCTCCTTCACAAGGACCTATACTATTACAGACTGCAGCACAGTATATTAAGCATGACTAGCCAAAGTTTAGGTTTTCTTAATACATTACACTGTAATTTGCAAAAACAGCCCAAACTTGACAGAAAATTAATACTCAGGAATGTCACTGCTAACGTGCTTTTAGCATAAAATATGTTTTCTCTAAGGTTTGCTGTTGTTTTTCTAACTTAATATTCCATAGAGTTTCCAAACTACTTCTACGTACTATAACTCCAGACTATTTTTTTCTACAACATTACATAGGCCTTGAATCCTTTATACATTAAGTCCCTGAATGATGTATTGGCTCACATATGGTAGATGTGTAAGTACATTTTTTTTTAAAGTAAGAAAGTTCAAGTAAGTTAGTTCTAAAACAAAATATGTAACCATTAAATTCCTTAGTCAGCTTCAAGATATTGACTTTGCACAAACTTCTAATGTTTGTTGAGCTGTTTTCATATACAATTCTTATGACAGAGTTTTATGTACTTGAAGAAAAAGATAAGTCTATGTCAAGAAAAACAATACTATCATTTTTTGAACCTGAATGCTTAGCCAAGATTTGGAACCTGGGAGGGTTTTCTGATTGCCTTCTCTGGATGAATAAACTGGTCATGCTCCTTTAAAGCAATGTGTGGAAAGCCCTGTTTCCCTGAACGCAAGGAGAACCAACAATAACGTTTTCACTGCACTTCCAAAAGTCTTCTGGGTAATTTTTAGCCCAATAACTTTCTCCTTGGGCTATGCTATCTGTTTTCTCATACTTGATAGCAATTATTTCTTTCCATTTTCAGTCCTTCAGCTGTTCCTTTTCCTCAGTGCCCTGGGTGACGAGCGGAGTCCAGACAGTAGAGGAAGTGCCATCCATAACTGCCCAGGCCCTGTGGATGATGAACAGGAACCCAGACCAATGATGTCTCTGCTAACCCATGGGCTGTGCAGCCCTGTCAGAACCCAGGAAATTCCTCTGACTGCCCTGGAGGACTTAAGACTCCGGCAGGGGGCACGGAGACCTTGACATGGAGTCAAAGACACCTGTGCCTTCAATTTTAACCCATGGAAACAATTATCAACTTTGTGCGAAGAGTTACAAGCCACAAGTGTTTGAATAGAATGATAGTGAATTTGTCACAGGGTGAAAAAGTAGAATTTTGGGGTTTTTAGAATGGGGGTTCAGGAGGCAAGATGGAGGAATCTGGGCCTGCCCTGTCTTTCTCCTTCTTCTTCTTGTCCTCCATCTTCTGTTGTGATGGTGGCACTTTTGGATTGGTTAAGGGTAGAGACTGACTTTCTAAATAAGTAAAAGGTATTGGAAAATTATTGTAAATAAAGTACATGTAGTTTTTAGTATAGAAAGATAACAGCACCCTGAGGGCAGTCAGTGTGCCCTAACCTGACCTGCTGGACAGACCTCCACTGATCCAAAAAGGAATGTATTAGATAATAGAAAATAAACAACCTTGAAAACCAGAGCAGAGGAATCTCGACTTCTTCCTCAAGCGTGGGGCTGGGAAAAAGGATTTTTTAATACCTCGGGAGCCATTATGGCAACAACAACTCAGAACCCGACACAGCACCAGGGCTGAACAGTGTTCTGCTGCACCTGCTCCCAGGATATTAACCATCAGCAGAAAGCTGGGGTCAGCACCTGAGGCTGCAGCCCCTCCACTTTTGTTAGAATGGCTTACCTGTGCTTGCAAGTGAGAGAGCTCAGATATATAGGGCTTTTCCCTAAATCAATAGTCATGGAAATTTAATTGATTGATAGCTATGTGTGCCCAGTGTAGAGTGAGACTATTTTTCTGCTATCAGTTGTAAAATTAAATTAATAGTTAATTAGTTTATTTCCTAATCACTATCACAAATAGAGAATGTTTTCTTTTTTTCCCAGGTGTAAGGAAATACCAACTGACTATTGAGAAAAAGTAGCTTCTGAAATATTTACTAATCTAGTATTCTCCTCTAGGAATATGAAATTGAAAGCATAAAATATCTGTTCTTTCTAGATACATGTAAATTATCTAATTTCATCTCAAGTAGGAAAAAATAAAAAATCTACTTGATTTTTTTAACTGATATTTCTGGTTGGTTTTGAAAAAGTTGTCTCATTACTTTTCAGGTCTCCATCAGATACCTGGTGAATTGCACAGCTTGTCTATAAGCAATAAAGAATGTTAAAATGCAGCTCATTATGTTGATTGAATCAATAAATCACAATCATAATTCCTAAATTTTTTGATATCTGAGCTGCTATTGTGAAATCAGTTGAGACTGAGTTAATCACTAGACTCTTATGTCCTTTAGTGACACTGACAACA